TCATTTAAGATAAGACTGTCCAACTCTGATTAAACCATTATTCTAACTTTCTTCAATGTAAATGTGCCTACGTATCCTTCCAATAATAAAAAAAGGAATAAAATAATAAACGTAATAATAATAATAATCAATAAAGTAAAATAATGGAAATATAATAATAATAGCAACAATAGAGTAAAATAAATGTAATACTAACAATAATAGTTAAATTATAAATGTAATAATAATAAATACTGTAAAATAATAAATGTAATAATAATAACAATAGAGAAAAATAATAAATAACCTTGACTCAAATATAAACCAAGTGAGGCTTTTTCAGTCTAAAAAAAGGGCTGAAAAACTAGGCTTATACTCGAGTATATAGAATATATATATATAATATATGGAGGCAACTCTCATTCACAAGATGAACCTACAACAAAGAGGTTCATGTGTTGAACCTCTTTGCTGAGAAATTGCAGGATTTTGGAAATCTTCCCTGATCCAAGACTGGTTCTTTGGTACTTATTCATCCTGGATTTACTTTTTTGCTTGGGTGATAAATACAAGATTGGGGATCATTACAATGAAGGTATATAAAAAAAAGAACTGAAAAAAGATACGCTAGCCCTTCCACCTTTGCATAAATCTTTACTTGATTAGATTATTATTTCTAGGAATCACTAGGTCCTCCAGCATGACTTTATGCTTAACTTACACAACAGAGCTGTCCCACAGGACCTACATGTTTTCTAGAGAGGTCCTGCAGTGTGACTCTATGGTCACCCTCCAGTAGAACCTATCCATAAAGTTTTGCCAGAGGACTTAGAGATTTCTAGAGAGTTGTTCTCTCAGGTTAAAAATTAGTGGTATCAGAATAATCCAAGTTACTTTTTGATTCTGTTTTTAAAGGATGTGAATCTGTGCTTCTGTCATGTTCTTGGTATATCTGCTGAAGTCGCACCAGTTCCTGTGATACTGTCTGCCACAGTTCTAGGACATGTTCTTTTTCTTTCATCATCATCATCATCATCATCATCATCATCATCATCATCATCATCTTTAATTACTTATTAATCGCCCTCCATCCGAAAATGCTCTAGGCGATTTACAGCTAAATTGTAAAAGATTAAATACATACATACAGAAATTAAAAATTAACAGAGTTCGAATGCTCTAGTAAAAAGCCAGGTCATAAGTGCTAGAGTAAAAGGCCCTAAGTCACGCATGGCTCTCATATAGGGCGGCAAGGAATTCCATAAGGCAGGGGTAGAAAAAGAAAAAGCCCTGCGTCTGGTACTTTCCAAGTGCACTTCTCTAGGACCCGGTATATAGAGTAAGTCGCGTTGGGCTGGTCGTTGCGACCTCCGATGATGGGAGGTCGCATGGACGATGGTACGATGGACCCTGGCCGTAAGGAATTTTAAAGGTCAGAACTAACATCTTATACAGGCCACAGTACTCAGTTGGAAGCCAATGTAAATGTTGCAGCACTGGTGTTATATGGCATTTCATCAGTGTTCTTGTGAGTAACCTTTAATTCTTTATTTGCAAGTTGCAGTTCTTGAAGATTTCTTCATTCTTCAGGGTAAAAATATTATTGCCATATATTGATCAAACCACTCCAGAGATGTTTTTAATACAGTTTGATCCCCATATCCACAGGAGATATGTTCCTGAACTTACTGTGGAAATAGGGAACTATGGATAATAGTGAAATCTTACTGAAATGAATGACTTCTGTTAGAAGTTAACATAGAATATCACTGGAGAACCAAGAAAATTCCTACAAAGGTATCACTCTCCAAGAATCCACTAGGTCCTTCAGGGTAACTCCTGGTGAAAACATACCACAGTATTGCCTGAAGGACCTAGAAAATCCTAAAGAGGGCATATTTTGTCAGTTGCAGATAGGTGAAACCGTGGGTATTTTCCTTTCTATTTTGTGTTCTCTCACAAACCCTGTTTATTGGTTATGACCCAGAGTTGCTTATATTCTACATATGTACAGTTTTTCTCCTTCAAACAGACAATGTCTACCTTTGTACACAGCACAGGCGATCCCCAAGTTACTAACAAGATAGATGGTCAGAGGTAATCCAAGATTCAAGCCATAGTCAGTCCAAGGCAAAAAGAGCAAGGAAAGCAAATTCCAATGTTCATTCTAGAAGGTCAAATGCACAGAGGATCGCCAAAAAGCCCAAGTCCGAATACAAAGAGCATGATCTGAGGTTGAAGGCATGAGGGTTACTAAAGATTACCAGCTGTAGCACTAACACAACAATTGCTTCCAGCAAAGAACTGTTACAAACACCAGCCCTTTATGTTGCTCCTGAAAAGTCCTTACAGCTGTGAGATTCTCTTTTGAGCCAGCTGATTAGACCAGGGGTCCTCAAACTTTTTAAACAGGGTCACTGTCCCTCAAACTGTTGGAGGGCGGATTATAATTTGAAAAAAAACCCCATGAATTTCTATGCACACTGCACATATCTTATTTGTTGTGCAGAAAACACTTTAAAACAATACAATAATTAGAATGAAGAACAATTTTAACAAATCTAAACTTATTCGTACTTCAATGGGAAGTGTGGGCCTGCATTTGGCTGTTGAGATAGGATTGTTGTTGTGTGCTTTCAAGTCATTTCAGACTTAGGTTGACCCTGAGTGAGGGCCGGGTAAATGACCTTGGAGGGCTGTATCTGGCCCTCGGGACTTAGTTTGAGTAATCCTGGATTAGACCTTCCCAGCTGGATGGCATCAGTCCTAAACTGAAGCCAGGCAGGGAGAGTTAACTCCTGCTCTTTCTCCTGAAGAGCCTCAGGCTCAGGTGCTGTCATTCCTGGAGGGTCCTGGACCTGCTCAACAGTAGCAATATCCACAGTGTCTGGCTGCTTATCCACCTGGGGCTCAGATTCCTCCTCTTCATCCTCTTATTGTCCCAAGGTCCTGACAGTTCTGTAGGTTTGTTCTTAAGTTGAATTTGTTTGTAAGTTGGAACAGGTACATTTTTAAGTGTAACTTCAGCCATACACACACACACACACCCACACACACACCCACACACACACACACGAGGGTTGAATGAAAAGTAATGCCTCCACATTCATAACTCCTCAACAGATGGCAGTACTGGTATGCGACAGTTACTAGCTTGTTCAGTAGATGCTCCTCTACAGTTCCAGTTTGGCAGGAAGCCTTAGCATTGAACAGTTGTGTTGTTAAAGTGCCAAGTATGGAACCCTGTGCAGACTGTCGGTCAATGCGACTTAAGCAACGAGCAGTCATTTAATTCTTGACAGCAGAAGGTGTTACCCCTAAGGAGATTCATCAGAAAATTCAAGCTGTTTATGGTGATTGTGTTGATGTGAGTACTGTGCATTGTTGGGCAAGTAAGTTTAAAGATGTTGAGGTGGGAACATCTGACTTGCATGACAAACAGAGTTGGACATCCTGTGACAGCAACCACCGAGTTTCACAAGCAAAAGGTTGACAGATTGATTCAGGATAACTCAGAGAGAAATTTTGAGCATAATTGGCATTTCACAAGAACGTGTGGGTCACATTATTGCTTTGCTTGGCTAACAAGGATCCGAAAGGAAAAGGGAAATGTTTTCCTGCAGCATAATGCCAGACCACACATTTCACATGCCACCACAGCAGAACTTCAGAGACTGTATCTCACCACCGTATGGTATCCTCCATACAGTCCAGATTTAGCACTGTCTGACTTCCATCTGTTCCCGATAATGAAAGAAGATCTGTGGAGACATCATTATGTTTCTGATGCGGAAACAGAGTGCCAACTTCTTCTGTGACAGCTTCAGAAAACTTGTTCATCATTGGCAGAAATGTATTCAATTGTCTGGTGATTGTGTGGAAAAGTGAATAGTGGTAGTTAAAGAGCACATTCTAAGGATTATTTCTGCGTTTGATTTATTAAAATATTCCCATCCAAACCCAAGTAACAAAGGTTGAGGCATTACTTTTCATTCAACCCTTGTGTGAATGATATATAGTTTTGGATAACATAGGGAAACACCCCTGTGGTGTTTGTTTTGCTGTCTGTGTCTCTGTTCATAAGAGTTCATTTCACTTTCTGTTCCTTTATTTGAGACACCTTTTCCCCTTGAAAACTTTTTAGGAGTAAATATCCCCTTTGTAGGGATCAATTTCTCTTACTTCCTGTTGTCTCAACATCATTCTTAACTATGAGTTGTTTGTAAGTAAAATGTTTGTAACATGAGGATGCCCGTATTGTAATAGGGGTTGGATGCTGATCTTGGTGGACAGACCTTCTTTATTTTACATTCTGGAGATATATCAACACAATGCACCATTTTCTAGACTCTAGGTTCCCATTGTTTGTCTTGTTTTCTGTGAACAAGGGGACTGCACTCCCCCGCCCCCCCAAGAGAATGACAGTGACATGCTTGCTTTAATAAAAACAGTAACCATGTACAAGCTGATTCCATGGAGCCCCCGGTGGCAAAATGGTTTAAACCCTTTTGTGCCGGCAGAATTGCTGCCCAACAGGTCAGCAGTTTGAATCCGGGGAGAACGGGTTGAGCTCCCTCAAGGATGGTAAAATATCAAACATCTGGATGTCCCCTGGGCAGAAGCAACTTGCAGTTTCTCAAGTCACTCCTGACACGAAAAACAGAAAACTGATTCCAATGGCTTCCTGGATAGCATCTCTCCAATACGACTAATTCCTTTTTACTTTTAGTAAAGCTATGGAAACAAACACCACATTATAATAACCTTAATAACCACCTGTTAAAAATGCTGCTTAGAAAACTATTTTGTGGGGAATAAAACCATATTATTAAAAACTCAATAAAATAATAATAAAACAAGACCCTATGGTAAAAAACCCATTATCTAAAACATACAAATAGACAAAACTGGTAGAAAAGTAAAACTTGAATGTTGTACCTAAACCATGTTTGTTCCATAAACAGACTGAGAAACATTGTTTCTCTAATAATAAAAGAAATTCCTTTGCATAAATGACTTACCTTTGCTGACCGAGTGATGGCCCCAATCTCAGAATAAAGGTCTGTGCTGTCTGGAAATTTTTCCACCACTATTGTGCAGATATGATGTAGTAGAGACTGCTTGTGAACTGTATCCTTGACTTCTGGAACCTTCTCGAGGTAGCTCAGTTCAAAAGCTTTGGCCTATGTGGAGGAAAAAAAAGAATAATAACAGCATAAGGCATGCCATTCAATTTGCCAATCTTTTTCTTCTTCTAATAATCTTGAAGAAGCAAAGAAAAAAAACAGGAAAAAATCTGAACATCTCCTCTGTTTCAATAAAAATCCAAACAAAGCTATTTTTTCATCCTACAAAACTTTAAAATATAAACTATCAATAAAATTAAAAACAGCTAATCATTAACAATAATAACAAACTTAAACAACAGAGCATTTGAAAAGCCTTTTCCCCATAGTGGTCAATCCTTGAAGGCCTGTCTAACTCCCTTGCTGTCAGTCTAACTCCCTTTAGGAAGAGAATTTGAGAGTTCTTGTGCTCTTGTCAGATGTATCTGTGAAGGTGGTGAAATAGAGAAAAGGGCTTCCCCAGAAGATTCCAAAAAGTGACAACCTTATACATGGAGATACAGTACTTTTATTAAACTGTGGTTCCCAACCCCTTCGCTCAATGTTGGAGTCTGAAAAATTTGGCAACAGTTAAAGGTTTCTGAACGTCACCTGTTTTAGACATTTACATGAACCTGTCATGCAATATTTACAGGACTTTGCAAAAAATGCTTCAGCTGTATTTCAAAAAAAAGGAAAAGAAGCCTATTTAGTTATTAGTAAATGGTTGATTTTTATGCTTATTTTATATACCTATATATACTGGGGTCACATAAAATTTCTCAGGCCAAAAGGAGTCCTGAGTGTAAAAGTTTAATAGTTCCTGTTATAGACCATAACCAGCATGTTGAATTGTGCTTGTCAGCCAGCGGAGCTATAGAACAAAGTAGTTATGTGCTTTCTGTAGCTGGTCCTGGTTAACAATTTGACTGCAGCTTCTTGTACCCACTAAAGTTTCTGTACATTCTTAACAAGCAACCACACAACAAGCATATTATGATATTTTCCCCAGAGACTTTTCCTGTCCGCTGAATATACAGAGGCCAAGGGAGGGTTGGGCCAAGCTTAGCTCAGAGTGTTCCTCTTTCATCTGCCTGTGCTCTAACAGCCAAATGCACAGGAATTGTACAGGATCTCCTGGGAGTTCACTGCAAGTTCTGTGATATGATGACAACATTGTGCATCAAGCTATCAGAACACAACTGGATAGTCACCAGCTGCTCCTACCATACCCCAGCTACTACATGACTGTGTCAAGTGTTGCTCAGGAAAACAGTGTCTCAGGGTGAGGGAGACTTGCCTAAAAATAAGATCTCAGGGCCAGGTCTTTGTGTTAGGGCAGGGTACTTCTCCATGTGTCTTCCCAACTCATGAGAAATCTTTTTTCAGTTCTCCCCTGATCTTATGATCACTGGAGGATGCTTCAATCCAATGTTCTCAGGAATTCCACATATCAGTCAAGGAGAGTGTCTTTGCAGTTGTAGCATGCCAATTATGGAATGCACTCCTCATGGAAATGGGATTGGTGCAAACACTGGAACTGTATTGATACCAGTTCAATTGCTTTTGTTTGCCAAGGAAAATTATCTAACCAATTTGAGCTGGGTGTACTTTCCTTTTCTTGCTGATTTTAAAATAATTTGTTTTGAAGTTTTTATTGCTTAATTGTATCCAGTTGTTTTATTGTATTTCTATGCCAGGCAGTTTTAAAATATTTAATAAATCTAAATAGAAGCATGAAACAGTATTATCATGGCAGATGCTTGTTTTCCTATTACACTGAGTAGCACCGACTAAAAGAAATAGGTTTCAGCTACATATCTGTGTAGAAATAAATGTCTTAAAATACCAACAAGGAATTATCCAGGATTAAATTTCCTACCCAAGGCTAATCTGAAAGCTGTTGCAGGGACAAGAGCCTGGAGATGGGAAGGGAAAGGAAAATGATATACTTTTTCTTTTCTTTGTGTTTCTTCTTCCTGTGATTTCTCTTATCTTATGGCAGCAACAATAGAAAAACATAATCACAATAATCATGGAGGTAAATCTTACATTGGTTCCATTGAGAAAATTTCCAATGGCTAGTAAAGTAGAAAGGATAAATCCCAAGGTTTTATTATTTTCCAGCTGGTCCATTCCTTCCTTTAAGTCCAAAAGTGGTTCTGCAACCTCCTGACATTGATAAAAAATACAAGAAAATACAAGACGAAAATATTGTATCAATTCTTCCACATCAATTTAATAATTTGAATTCCCCCAAAGATTACCAGCTATACTCCAGCAATTTGAAAATGGGACATCTTTCCTTTATCAGTACTTGAATTCCAAGTACTGCTGTTACTCCCACCCTCAGTAGTAAACTAGAATTCCTTTAAACCCTAATCCATTCATTTTGTTTATGTTTAAGACTCTCTGTACATTGCACTTACCCAGAATTCCGACATACCACCTGTCACACCCGGCACTTTTTTAACCTGTACCCATCATTGGTCCGGCCCCTGGTTTTTATTGTGTAATGGTGTAATGTTTTGTTATTGCTTATGTTTTTAATTTGCTTTGTATTGTATTGTTATTGTTTGCTGTTGTTGTGTTGATGGCTTGGCCTTTGTAAGCCGCATCGAGTCCTTCGGGAGATGCTAGCGGGGTACAAATAAAGTTTAATAATAATAATAATAATAATATGTTTGAGAAGCAGTTGTTACAGACAGTATACCCCTTGCGATATTGTTCACATTTTAAAGATACTACATCATTCCCTTAGGGGAAGAAAAGAGGTATATAAATGTATTCTAGATCCTTGACTTTCGTGGCTGGTCAAACAGGCCAGAGGGGGACTGACAGAATGGGTGAAAGTGGTGGTCAATGCCTCCTTAGAACAAGGAGAAATTCCAGCTTTCCCAAAGGAGTGGTAAGACCTATATTTATGTATTTATTTATTTATTTATTTATTTTTCAAGATGGTGGAGCTGTAACATCGAGCCACACAGCTCCGGGAGGAAATTTTTCCCATCCATCGGAATCCTCCCCCCAGGAATCTCTAAATTACCGAGACTAACTTGAGCCCTTTTTTCATCCAGGGCTCCCACGGAACGCAGCGTTTGCGGGGCTGATAAGGACATTTTCGGCCACTTTAAAATCTGGGCCTACCTCCGTCGTTGAGCCGATCTGAAGCACGGAAGGAGTTGCGGCCTGAGAATCCAACTTGCAACTGGCCTTACATCGCCGTTGCTACCGCTGCTACCCCCGCTACCCCCGCTCTGTCGCCGCGCCATCCCGGGTGGCGACAGGAGTGAGATCGGGCTGGCCTGTCACTTCTGGGAAGAGCGGGCTGCAGCAGGCTTACCATCACCGCTGCCCATCACCGCTGCCACCATTCTGATCGTCTGTCTCACTGCCGCGCCTTCTCGGGTGATAATCGGAGTGCAGATGGGCCCGCCTTTGTTGTTGCGCTGATCTAGGCGGCGGCTAGAGAGAGCCCGGGCTGTTGCTTTTCGGAGGAGTGGTCAGCGGCGGCCCTACCATTGCCGCTGCCGCCATTGGCAATTTGCCTGCCGCTGTTGCCGTGCCGTCCCGAGCAATAACCGGAGGGCCCGGCTGTCTGCGGAAGAGCGGGACACAGCAGGCCGCCCATCACCGTTGCTGCAGCCGCTGCTTGCCGCCTCATTGCCACGCTACTCGGGCGGTTTGAAGTAAGTTCCGGCCCGGCTTGTTGCGGAGGAGTGGGCTGCAGCAGGCCTTCCATCGCCATTGCTGCTGCCGCTCCCCGCCGCCGCGTCACCACGCCTTTCTCGGGGCGGTCCACTGAAGGGCGAGCCGCAACTGGCCTCTCCATCGCCGCTGCGGCTGCAGCTGGCTGCAGCCTTGCTGTGTCTTCGAACTGGGCCTCTCCGCTGTGGCTGCTAGGCCCCAACGCTGCTGTTGCCATTGGAGTTAGCCTGTGGAGCAATTGATTGCTGGAGAAATCCCCCGGCTGCTGAACTGGAGGTGGAGGGGAGAGAGAGAGAATTCATCGATCTTTGAGGATTTACCATCGCTGCTAAGGGGGGAGGAAAAGGAACCCTCCCCTACGATCTTGCTACTGTTGCTGCTCCTTCGTCATCTTGATTTTATTTTATTTTGTTTTATTTTTTATTTTATTTTATTTTATTTAGTATTTTATTTTATTTTTTGTTGTGTGTGATACTGCTCTGTGTTGTGTGTTGTGTCTTGGAATAATTGCTGGGATGGGTGATATAGAGAGATATAGGAAAATGGGATACATATTCATTTAATAGCATAGGACAAGAGGTGAGTTGTGTGAAGTGGACCAAGAGTGACTGTGAGATTGACTGTTTGTGAAGATAATTGTAGGTGTTGGAAAGTTGTAGAATGTGTGTGTAGGTAGGAAGGCTTGGAGATGGATTATTTTGGCTGTGATGGATGAGTGGAGAAGCTAGTGCATGTGATGGTTAACGGTAGAAGTTAGAGAAGGGAGGGAAGGAATAAGAAGTGTACTGTTGTAATAGAAAGTTATTGGGTGGTTACCATAGGAAGAATAAGGAATGGATAGAACAGAATCTCATAGGAAGAATGTATTGTCCCATTTGTGTGACCTCTTGGGGAAATCGTTCACTCTTCTTTCTCACCAACTGGAGACCTTGAGTGAGAAAATTGATCACCTCTTCAAAGGAATTGCCCTTATAATCAAAACTCCTGTGCAATATGACCCCCCAAGGGCAGACAATCCCTTACTTCCAGACTGGATTGAGGACTCATGCTTAATAGGAGAAAGAGGGCCGCTGGACACTGAGAAGGAGGAAAGAATAGAACGTGAGAGGATTGTGGGAACGGGAGGGCTTTTCGATATTTATAGGAATCAGGATGGTCCTGAGCGGCAGGAGACAATTGCAGACATTTTGTGGACAATTGCTAATTTAACATCAGACTCTATTGCCGATTCCACCACAGATCGTGGCCAAGAACAACAGCTTTTGAGAACGGACAATTTTGCTTTGGAAATCGCTGATCAATAGAGGTAGATGGACCTCAAAGAGGGTGGTCCGTAAATCTCTGGCAGAACTATTATCAAAGAACCATCAGATGTCAGAGTGAAGGCCATAACATGGTTACGTAGAGACTATCAATCGTATGATCGCTCTATCTGTCTTTTAATCACACCTGAAGACAACTCATGGCCTAGTGAGCTACTAGTGAGTTGATTACGCTTAAAAAAGTGGGGCATTACCATCAGGAAGGTGTTTGTGGACCCCCTTGTTGAAACACTGGAACCATCTCACCATGCACCATCTGGTTCCAATGATAAATCCACAATTGGCTCCCCAGATAGGACCCCCAATCCAGACTGTATCAGTTCGAAACTCCATCCATATCAGTTGCCCCTATCCAATCGGCCACACTCTCCTGCCCAAGAACACTCCCTCTCTTTAGCCCCCTCAGTTCCCTCGATGATTCCCTTTCCCTTACGACATTGGAAACATCTGCTCATGATCCTCAGAGTAACCCACGTTCAAGCCCCTCTGTTATAGAGAGCTGACTAGCAACGGAATCCAATTCCCAGGGAGAGGGAGGGATTCCAGAGGAGTCGGGCGCCATCCAGGTTGTGTGGGGGCAGAGACTTGCTGGTCACAAACATACCAGGGAGAAGCGCAACAGAGTTCTTGCGACCTTGGAGAAGTTAGGATGTGGTAGACTCCATGGCAGTTCCCCCGGACTTAAGGTCCTGCTCTTAAACGCCAGGTCCGTCAATGGTAAGACCACCGCCATTCAGGATCCTGGATGAGAGGGAGGACCTGGCTTGCATCACTGACACTTGGTTGGACAAGCTGGGGGGGGGGATCTCTCCCAGTTGTTCCCACCTGGTTTTGGGGTGCACCAGCAGGCCAGGTCCAGGGGACGGGGAGGTGGGGTCACAGTAGTTTTTTGGCAGTCCATTGCCATGATTAGATGTGCTGTTCCGCAATCTCCCAGGTTTGAGTGTGTTCACCTGAGGGTGGGAAACCGTGATAGCTTGGGGATTCTGCTGGTGTACCGCCCACCCCGCGACTCAGCAGTTTCCCTGCCTGAGCTAACAGATGTGGTCTCCAATTCGGTCTTGGTTACCCAGCAACTGATTGTGCTGGGAGACTTCAACATCCATGCTGAGACCTCCTTAACAGGGGCAGCTCAGGACTTCATGGTCGCCATGACGACCATGGGGCTATCACAAGTCATATGTGTCCATCAGGCTGGACACACACTTGACTTGGTTTTTGTGGCGGACGGCGGAATGGTCAGAGTGGAAGAGCAAAACATCTTTCCATTGTCATGGTCTGACCATCACCTGATCAGCGTTAGACGTACTGCGACCACAAACCTTCGCAGGGGTGGAGGATCAACTAAGATGATTCGCCCCAGGAGACTGATGGATTCAGAAGGATTCCTGAGGAATCTTGGGGCTCTTCCTGCCATGGAGGCTGGCGATCATGTTGACACTCTGGTCGATTGCTATAATAGTAAGATGGCCAGAGTGATAGACTTGATCGCTCCCGAACGCCCTCTATCGTTGCGTAGAGACACACTGTCTCCTTGGTTCACTGGCTGTGATGAAACGCACAAGAAGGAGGCTAGAGTGCAAATGGAGGAAATCACAGGATGTACCTAATCAAGCACAGGCTACGGCCTCACTTAGGGCCTATTCCGCGGCTATACAGGTAGCCAGGGAGACCTTCACGACTGCCCGTATAGCGTCTGCATTTAATAGATTTTCGGAGTTGTTTCAGGTTGTTGGGGAACTTCTTCACCCTCCCGAGGTGGAGGAGACCTTCGACGACCCGAAAACTCGGTGCTGCGAATTTGCGCAGCACTTTGCAGACAAAGTTGCTCAGATACGTCTTGAGCTGGACTCCAGTTTGATCGCAGTTCCAAGAGAGGTGACTGAGGCATCTGCTTGTCCAGTTTTGTGGGATTCCTTCTGGCTTGTTCGTCCTGAGGACGTGGAAGTGGCCCTTGGGGCAGTGGGAGCTACTACATCAGCTCTGAACCCTTGCCCATCTTGACTAATTAAATCGGCCAAGGATAGTCTGATTGGTTTATGTTAATAATTAATACATCGTTGGAGCAAGGAATTTTTCCATCAGGCTTAAAACAGGCTGTGGTCAGACCACTCCTGAAAAAGACTTCCCTTGAATAACTATAGACCAATCTCAAACCTCCCTTTTCTGGGCAAGGTGTTGGAGCGGGTGGTCGCTACTCAGTTCCAGGGCTTCCTGGATGACATCAACTACCTGGATCAGTCACAGTGTGGCTTCAGACCAGGCCATGGCACCGAGACGGCTTTGGTCGCCTTGGTGGATGATTTCCGTAGGGAGCTGGACAGTGGGAGTGTGACCCTGTTGGTTTTCTTGGACATTTCAGCGGCTTTCGATACCATCGATCATGGTATCCTTCTGGGAGGCCTCTCCGGGATGGGCCTTGGAGGTACGGCTTTGCCGTATTCTAATAAAACTTGTTACTGTTCTTTTTACAAGGCTTGCCTCTGTTACCTTTACTTCTAAGCCAAACAGCCTGCATAAGAAGTAAAACCAAACCAGGGACATTAAACGCTACGCTATCAAATAAATAAATCCTTCTGTAACTAATAATCCCTTTATAAACCAACTCTTAAGCTGATACTGATCATTGCCCGGCTTCCTCAACAGAATTGGTGGCAGTAATTTTACGCTCCGTCACAGGAGTGCAGTTCCCTTTTAATGTTAAAGAGGACCACTTATGCCACCGCTCACAAGTATGTGTATCTTTGGGACCGAAGAGAGAAGAAATCCTCAAGTTGTGTTAAGATAGCCGTCCGGCAGGACATTTCGGACTGTTCAAAACCATGCAGCTGATACTGAGAGACTTCTGGTGGCCTAAGATCCAGAGGGATGTGGAGAAATATGTAGCTACTTGTCCCATGTGTCAACGGGCAAAGCATCAAGTGGGCAAACCGGCAGGTTCGCTGCAACCGATGCTCACACTGATCTGGCCGTGGGAGATCATCTTGGTGGATTTCATTACCGACTTGCCTGAGTCCAATGAATTTACAACTGTGTTAGTGATAGTGGACTTGTTCATGAAGATGGCTCACTTCATTCCTTGCCTACTGCCAAAGAAACCATGGATTTGTTTCTGCATCATGTCTTTTGCTTACACGGATTGCCAAAGAGCATTGTCACTGACCATGGAGCTCAATTCACTTCTCAATTTTGGAAAGCCATTCAACGTTTGTTGGGCATTGAAGCTCAGATGTCTACCGCTCATCATCCTCAGACGGATGGCCAGACGAAGAAGACTTATGCTACGTTGGAGCAATATCTACATTGTTATGTGAACTACTAACAGGACAACTGGTCGTCCCTGCTCTCCCTGGCAGAATTCTCATTCAACAATTCAACGCAGAGTTCCACCAAATAAGCTCCTTTATTTGCAAACTATGAGTTTCATCCTCGCTTCTACATGGCGGTGGTGGAGTCGGGGAATGTGCCCGCAGCTGAAGATTGGCTACAGGAGCTGACAGCTCTACAGGAAGTCCTCAAGGCTCAGTTGGAGCAAACCAAATTGGATTACAAACGTGTCGCTAATCAACACCAGCAAGAGGGGCCGGAGATTTGAGTGGGCGACTGGGTCTGGTTGTCCACTAAACATCTCCCCCTCCAGAGACCTTGCCAGAAGTTAGATGAGTGGTTTGTGGGACCTTATCGTGTGGTGGCTCAAGTCAACCCAGTGACATTCAAGTTGCAACTTCCCAGGGGAATGCGTATTCATCCTGTGTTTCATCGGTGTTTGCTGTGTCCAATAAATGGGGCACGCCCAGATGCAGGTAGGGGACCGCCACCTCCTCCAGTACTGTGGGATGGGGAGGAAGAGTTTGAAGTTGAGGACATTTTGGATTCCCGATATCATAGTCGGAGACTACAATATCTGGTGGACTGGACTGGGTTTGGGCCAGAGGAGCACTCGGGCTTACCGGTCTAAGCCCCAGTCTTGGGAAGGGCCAAGGGGGGGGGGGAGGCTTGGGGGGATAGTGTTGCAGTTCAGCCTGTGTTTGTGTTTCAGGATCAAGGTGCTTCTGATGTGGGGAATTATGTCACTGACGATCAAGATGGAGATGATTTCATTAGTGATATTAATGCAGATAATGACATAGGGACAACGGTTCAAAGTGTAGTTTCCCATGAGAATACAGGGTATAGGGATGATAGTTTACTCCCTGACCCAGAGAGTTTCCAAAATTTGGGGTTTGAAAACAACTTGACATGTGGAGAAACAAATGAGCAGATAGATAATGAGCACATAGACAGATGGCTGGAACGTAGCCAACATAGACAGCTGTCACGAAAATATCATTGCAGATTTGATAAATGTGGATTTTATATGATGTATGGGAATGAATGGAGGAATGGAAGATGAATGTATGGATGGAGCTAATAATTTTGGAAGCACCAGTAAAATATTAAAGCCTGCAATGACTAACTACCTGCTTGCTGAACTGTGGTTGGAAGTTGCTAATAAGACCTGAAAAGGACAGTTCTGATAAGAATGGGACAGTTATAACAGAAATGTGTACAATGTTAAGAATTAAGTCAACATAAGATCAACACTGATCAAGAAGATCAACATCTGGCCAGGAAACTGAGATGGAGCCAGGATGGAAGAAGTCTATCATTAGAAGTCTATCAACAGACTACATCAAAAGACTCATGGCGTTATGGAAGTTTTGGAACTATGCATTTGGCAGGCTGCAGGTGCTTTCTCCAAGGAGGGTGAAAATGATATGGTAATATTTGAATCCTGAGGATGAATGTGTGTACATGTGTGTGAATGTTGAGTGAAAACGTAATTCCCCCTTTTTTGTTTGTTAACCAATGTAATTGTGAATCCAATGTAGTTGCACAGAATCTATATGCCTGTATGTCTAATGTCATTCGTTGTATAAATGTTTTTATGTAATCTGATTACTGGAAATTGCAATAAAAAGACCCTATGCTTCAGAGTTATTGAAAAGTCATTCATGACACAGCTCAGCCAAGGCCTTCGCCGTTCTGCTAGACTTTGAGAGATAAGGGCAAGAGACAGTCAAGGAAAGCAGTCAAGGATGATTTCCAAAGTAAAGGGAGGGAAGGGGGGGGGGGTCAAGCAAAAGAGAAAGAGGGGTGGGAGAGAAAAAAATAAGGGAGGGAGGAGGGAAAAAGGAAACACGATGGCTCCCCTTCTCTGTATTGTCTCTCTGTATTCTTGGTGCACGCAGAGCCTTGCTCTCCTGCTTTGGAGGCTTATCTTCAACCCAGCCTTATTTCCAGATCGAGGAGGGAAAAAAGCTCATGGCTAGAAGGAAGGAAAGGGGGAGAGAAGCCTCGTGTCATTGGTGGGCAGAGGATCCCCCCCTTTCTTCCTGCACACACACATTTTGCTTCAGATCTTCTCTCTCTTCCTTTTCATCCCCCACAAGCTCTCTTTTCTTCTTCCTCCACTGCCTCCCATCTTTTACCTCTAACAACCTTGCAGCAACTTGCACTTTTGGCCTTCTCCGCCTCTTCTTCTAATCCAATATCAATCCCTCTCCCTAAAGAGGCTATCCAGCTCAGCCCCATTCTGCTAGGCTGGAAGACACAAGTCAAGCCCTCCCAACAGAGAGCCATCCATCTCCAGATGAGATTTTTGAGACAGTCGACCAATATTAGTGTTTAGCAAACTTTGGTTTTCCAGTGTTTCCATTCCTCTATGCTCAATATGGGATTCTAAAGACGGTTAATCTACAGCAGGCATCCTCCAACTGTGGCCCTCCAGCTGTTTGGGTCTCCAACTCTCAGAATTCCTGACCTTTGAACAAGCTGGCAAGGGCTTCTGAGAGGTCAAACAGCTGGAGGGCCGCAGTTTGAGGATGCCTGATCTACAGTATATGAGTGTGATTCCAACTCTGGTCTTCCAGGTGTTTTGGATTTCAAATATGATGGAAGAGACATGGGCCATCCATGTAGGCAAAGCACAATCAAAACACCCCTGACAGATGGCCATCCCTCCTCTATTTAAAAGTCTCCAAAGCGGGAATTCTCACTACATTCTGAGGCAGTGAATTCCACTGTTGAAGAGCTCTTAAGGTCAGTTCTTCCTAATGATCAATTGGAATCTTCTTACCTGTAGTTTGAACCCACTGTCACAAGTTTTAATCTCTAAGGCATTGAGGAAGAAAGCATAATCCTTCTGTTTGGAGGAGGGAAGTTTCTAACTCTCAATGCCTATTCAGATGGTTATCTCAAAGTAAATGACATGTTCATTATACTGGAGATCAAACAGATATAATTAAAATAATTCCATTTACCTTTTCCACAAGATCATAATCCATTTTGAATGCCCAGAGTTGAAGTCTAGGAGTAAGTTCAGTGATGGAAGAAAGAGTAAGAAGGAACTGCTCAGCAGTGCCCAGTGGGGTATCAGGGTTGGCTAACTGAGCTTCCTGAATTTTCTGTTTCTCCTCTTCAGTGGGAATCATTGTGAGAATTTTCTAGGAAGAATAATCATAATCTGAATATAGAGGTTCAGTGTACTAAAAATGTTTTTAGACTTACTTTCCCCACAAGATTTTGAAAGTTTTAGTATTTTTGATTTTATAAAGTTTGTATTTTAATGAAAACTTTCAATAAAGACTATTTTAAAAAAAGATTATAATTAGGAATCTAGGAATAAGTTCAGTGATGGAAGAAAGCTGTCATCTCTTTTCACAAATGCAACAATTTTATAAACTCTTGTCTCTTTAGATTTGACTGTACCATAGTCTAGCTAGAGGAAAGAGGCTTCTGCATGCATATCCCATACTTGTTCAACTGGTATTTGTACCACAAAATGGTCTTTTCATACAAACCCTACCCTGAGATTTACTGCATGGCCATGTTAGAATATAAACCTAGAATAAAGCAAAAACACAGACCTCACAACTGCTTTGCACAAATATAGAGAAAATTAAGTGTATCTAACTAAACCAGCTTCTCATTTTTATTAAATTATGTTAGGTACTTAGAATTCATTCCCTTCTTGCACAATTGCTCCACTATACAGGAGATTCTCAGATAACAAAACTCAAGCAACTGGAACTTTGAAGCAACTGGCAAAAATGAAAAAAATGATACTTTAAAAAAATTAAGCTGTTTTTATGATATAGCAAAATTGTGTTACTTTAAGTTTGCATTGGTTTTTATTTGCTTTGAATTACTATATGTCAATATTTATATCAAGTCAGTACAGAATTTATGGTATTGTATGGTATGACATATAGTATTAGTTAGGACTAATTTTAATAGAAATAGAAACTACATTTATTTGGCACCTAACAATTCCCGAGTGCCGGTCAAATGGAAGTCTACTGTATATACAATGAACAAACACAAAATAGATGTACAACAATAATTTTGTACAAGAAAATGCATCATACAATTTAGCATTTAATCCAAACTTGGTACCAGTAGTTTAACTTTGTGAAATGCCGACCTTTAAATAGATTAGAAACCACAAGAGACTCCTACCCTGACCTAAAGTGGCTTGCACCAATGGTACTATCACCTTTAGAAAACAAAGCATTATCTGGAAAAGAAAAAAGTCAGTATGAAAGAGCAGCTTCTGCATCTTTAATAGGTGTGTAGAATATGGGAACACTTGCAGTTGTGGTTTGTCAGACAGGTAAGAGAAGGCTGCATTTTTAAAAAAACTGACTCTTTTGTAGAACTTTTAATGATAGCAAGATGAATATATAGGATCCTATACCTTGATAAATACTGATAACAGCTCTGTATTGTTCCTCCCACCCCAGTACCTCTATTCCTTCTTTATTTAAGGCATATTCATCAAAGTTTAAAATGGCAGTCTTGATTGTCCTTGGAGGGGGTAATACTGTCAGCCCAATATTGATGGCATTACTCCGCTTGGAATCCAACACAATGATTTCTTGCCTCTTGCCATCTGCAGCAGTTTTCTGAGAATAAAAGAAAAGTGAAGAGAGGTAACCATCCATTCTTTAAATCATGTACTGTACATATGTTGATATCAGACAATCCGTGTAATTCTAATTGCTATATTACACAGTATAGGTTTGATTTAAGTGCAAGAGCCTGTCTATTGCTACAAAATGTATTCTTTTCACACCATTAACATCAGATGTTAGCAGTAACAATGGAATGAAGAATACTGAAACTGCTAACAGCACTGCATAACCTGCCATTCATTTTAGACTTGGACCACACTCCTAAAGAACCAGTGTGGTATAGGAGTTTGAATTTGGGATTGGGACTCTGAGAAACTCAGGTTCAAATTACTATTCCACCATAGAAAACCACCAAGTAACTGGCCAAGAAAAACTCTGTCTTCGAGGAAAGCAATAGCAAACATCTATATAAATAAAAATGTAATGTTCATTTGTGGGATTAACAGAACTCAAAAACCACTGGGAAAATTGACACCAAATTTGGACACAAGACTCCAACCAAAGCAATCTATGTCTTTCACTCAAAAAAACCAAAAAAATTAACTTTAAACCCCCTAAAACAAACAATACATAACAGCATATGCGCGAATGACCCCCCCCCCCGGAGGCGAAGGAAAATCAGTTGCAAACTGGCAATCCCCGCTGGCACCGAGTGAGGCTTAGCCATGGGTTCAGGCTGTGGGTCAGGCACACACATTAGAACAGATGCAATTTGGCCCCACTTTTAACTCAATGCGATGGGGTCCTGGGAGCTGTACTTTCATGCAGCCTTGCTAAAGCCATCTCAGCCAAGGAGTACTGGTGCCCCGCCAAACTAAGGATCCCAGGATCCCACAGTAGCGAGCCGTGCTTTTGGGCCTGCCCTCCTCCGCCACGCTGGGGCCTAGCATGGGCCCTCCTTACCTCCCTCCCAGTCTCTGTTGGCCCCACCAAATAGGGACCCCTCCTCTTTCTTTTTCCTTGGTGAGGCATTTGGGTGGCTGCTCCATGCGGGTGCCGTTTGTCAGACTTCTATGGTTTTAGGGGGTTTTAAGTTAATTTTTTTGGTTTTTTTGAGTGAAGGACACCGATGGGAAGGGAACTTTGCAGCCCTCAGCCTTGCTGGGCCTGGCAGGGGTGGGAGGCATTTTTTGAGGTGGGCCTTGCTCACCCAGCACTGTTCATGTGGAGATTGTCTGGTTTGCATACTCTGGAACATGAAACATATAATTGTCTTTCTTTAGGGGTCCCTTTCAAATCTATGATACTATACCTGTGTGTGTGTGAATCATATATATCCATCTATTTCTTCCTGCCACAGCCACAGGGAGCCTTTCATGTGACCCTTCCTGCATGCCCAACCGGCAAACAGGCAGGAAGGCACCCTGAAGCCATGGAAGAAAAAGAAGGGGTGGCGCTGGTTGAGCGAGGCCTGTCTCAAAAACCACCTCCCACCTGCTACGCGCCTGGCTGCCATGCTCCCTTCCTGCCAGTACCCAGGCAAGTGGTAGAGAAGGAAAGGAAGGAAAGAGGGAGAGAAGAAAGGAGAGAAAGAAAGAGGACGGGAAAGAAAGCAGGAAAGAGAGAAGGAGGGATGGAAGCAAAGAGCAAAGGAAGGAAGGAAAGAAAGAGGGAGAGAAGGAAGAAAGGAGAGAAAGAAAGAGGACGGGAACGAAAGCAGGAAAGAGAGAAGGAAGGATGGAAGCAAAGAGCAAAGGAAGGAAGGAAAGAAAGAGGGAGAGAAGGAAGAAAGGAGAGAAAGAAGGAAAAGAAAAGGGGGAGGGAGGAAGGAAAGAGAGAAGTAAAGGGAAAAAAAATACCAAAAGAACTATAATCCCAATTAAACAGCTCAGGGGAAGATCTCAGGGGCTCACATGTCTTTACACCAATGCACAGAGCATGGGAAATAAACAACTCCAACTTTTAGCACAACACCACAAATATGATATCAAAGGCATCACTGAAACCTGGTGGGATGCCTCCTATCGCTGGAATGTAGACATCGAGGGCTATAACTTCTTTCACAGAAACCGAACAAAGGGAAGAGGAGGCGGAGTAGCCTTATATGTCAAAAACTCTTATGATGCAGAAGAGATGCAAGACAGCAATCCGAGAAACCAGCTTGAAAGCATCTGGATAAGAATCAAGGAAACTGGGACTCAAAAAGATCTCGTTGTAGGCCTCTACTACAGACCTCCAAGCCAGGAGGAAGAACTAGAGGAAGTCTTCTGCCAACAGTTGACCAAAGAGTCACAGAGAAGAGATGTAGTAGTCATGGGCAATTTCAACTATCCCGATATTTTCTGGAAAACAAACTCTGCCAAGAGTACAAGGTCCAACAAATTCCTTGCTTGCCTTGCAGACAATTTCATGGTCCAGAAGGTAGAAGAGGCAACAAGGGGGTTGGCTACTCTTGATCTCATCCTAACAAATGCGGAGGACCTGATCGATGCGGTTGAAGTGGTCGGATCCTTAGGGGCAAGTGACCATGTGCTCCTGCAATTTGAGTTACAAAGGAAGGCCGAAACTAAGAGAAATCAAACCCGCATTTTGGACTTTAGAAGAGCCGATTTCCAAAAAATGAAGGAAACGCTGAGCAGCATTCCGTGGACACAGATACTAAAAGATAAGAGAATTACGGATGGATGGGAATTTCTCAAGAGTGAAATACTCAAGGCACAATTGCAAAATCTCATTAGATTTCAATAATGTAATTGTCAGCAATTACCCTAAAGAGAAGTGTATGTCTCAGTCCCCTATGCAGAAAAGAAAGAGCAGAATCCTATCAGATACCTTCAGAGACAGAATCTTATCCCTTCTTGCTTTGTAGTTGCTATTATGTGCCTTCAAAATAGTCCAATTTATGGGGATCTAATTATAGGATTTTATTGGCAGGATTTATTGAAGTTTGTCATTGTCTTCCTCTTAGACTTGCTCAGGCTTGCTGGGAATTTAAACCACAGTCTTCTAAAGTCCTTGTCTATCACTCAAACTACTACCATTTTTTATTAAGTAAACTGTCTTCTCAATACAGCATATTCAATAGTAAAGTATTCCTCCATTAATGGTTTCCAACATCACTTACCAATAATTTCCATTGCAAGTTCCTTTCTTAAGTTCACTATGAATTACTTTGCTATGATTATAATTTTAAAAAAGTTCTGAGCATAGATAAGTACCGTATATTCCGGCATATAAGACGACTGGGCGTATAAGACGACCCCCAACTTTTCCAGTTAAAATATAGAGTTAAGACGACTCCCATGCATAAGACTACACCTGCGTAAAAGACGACCCCTGACTTTTGAGAAGATTTTCTTGGGTTAAAAAGTAGTCTTATACGCCAGAATATACTGTAATTGCTTACGTTGTGGAAATCACAATTGAGTCTTAAAATTGAGAATAAGATTGGTCACAGATGTATCTGAACACAGAAGATGGAACCAAACACCAGTCCCCCCCCCTCTGATCTTAATTCCAGCTTTTCTTTCTCATCAGTTTGTGCATGCATTATCTCTGCCAAGCACCTGCCCATATTTACTGAATCAAAGAAAACAGGACTGTTTGTTTATGCAGAACTCTAGATCTTTAAGTAATAAAATGTTGTTGCTGTTCTCAGGGCTGAGAACAAAAGCATCTCACACTTTAAAAACAACACAACTAAAAACATGAGTATTACAACGGAATTTAATTTTTATAATTATTAAAGTAATTCAATTCAAACACAATAACTAAATAAATAACTTTAAAAATAATAAAATAAAATAATGCAAGATACCCTGACATGTTCTTTTAAAAAAAGTTGTGTTTGCTTGAATCAAAAACGTTTTAGCTTACTGTCAGAAGGATAAAAGAGAGGGGGGCATTCTGATTTCCGTGAAGGGAGTTCAAGAAACTAGGGGAAGGTACCAAGAAGGTCTTCTTGGGACTGAGAGAAGGATCTCTCGTCATGATCTCAAAGCCTGACTGGCTCATACAGAGATATATGGTTTGCCACAAAGCCTGGAACTGAGCCACATAGGGCTTTATAAATCAGATGTTCATTCACATAGATTTTTGCTTGCCCAGCACCTTTCTTGAATTGTTCTAGAGCAGAAAAAAACTCCACCACAATGTACATGTTCATAGGTGGGTATCTCTCTAACAACATCCCAGGGTTGTTCCAGTGGCCAAAAAACTAACGAAGAGAACAGATCACACTTGCATTTATGTCAAGCCGTTTTGAGTCCTCTTTGGGGAGATAAAGTGGGGTAATAATAATGATGATGATGATGATGCCAGGAAAATGGGTGAATAATATGAGCACCCAAAGAACTATGGTTACAGGTAAACAACCTGCTCCTCTTTATAATCTACAATCTTCTTTCAACTTCTGAGAATTCCACTAGAACACTATCATACAATTAAGTTTCATATTGGATATCAATATGCAATATGCAAAGTTTATTGATTAGTCCATTGACCGTATCAACATTAAAAACAAAAACAGAAATGTGCACAAATAGACAATAATCACTATCCTAAGACTCCCATAATAGCCAACTAACATACATTCAAACTTGATTAAGTTAAAAGACAATTAAAAATATCATCATTGAAATGCCAAGGTAAAATTTCACACCACAAAAATTAAAAATGAAGGTTAAAACGAAGGTTAAAATAGACCAGCGATTACAAGCCACTTCAGGTATCTGCGTCACCCCTACAGTTTACCCCAATCGCCTCCAGATACGCAGTTCTCAGCTGCGTTGCTTTATGAAGGAAAAGGGCTGTTTGGTGTGTTATTTTAGCATTCTGGCCAGCCATTAAGAATGTAGTTTTGATATGGGGATCCCAGTGAGTCTTCTGTATGATGAATGGTCTGAGGTATTGATTTTTCTCTCCAGATAGAGAGAGAAATCTCTACCTCTGTTGCCCCACAGATACAGAAACGTTCATTATATGGAACTTGGTTAAACCTTCCATGTTTAACCATTGTATCTGTCTGTTTGAATCATTTAGATGTTTAGGCA